CAGAGTCAGTCGGAGTCAACGACGACGACGCGCAAAACCGAAAGAAACACAAAAAAAAAAAAAAAAAACACCCACACACAGACACAACATGAATAGAATGAATGCATGAGTGTGCGTAGATAACGGGCAAAATTAAAGATATCGAACTGGTAGAACAGACGAACGCAGCTAAACGAACGGACGGAGCCCGTACGCCGTACACAGACACACACACACACACACTCACACTCACACACGTACATGTATGGGCAGCAAGGGGGCCACAGGAGTGGGGTTGGCTGGCAGGGAACGTCATCAGCGGCAACTGTTGAATACCAGCAGATGCCTAGATTACAACGTGCACAATGAAAGTAAGTAGAGTGAACTAGTTCAAGTGAGCTAAAGCTAAATGAACCATTTAGGCGTTAAGTGATGAAGCTTAAGAATACAGGATACTAGCGAAATCCCATAAATGAACTAGTTCAAAATGTTTAAGTCTTGATGACGGTCTACAGTTGAGGCTCTGTAGAACCAACAGCTTTAAAACGAGTGCAATACTGGTAAAAGTTAAATTAAACTAATAGAACAAAATGTGCAAAATGAACTAGTTCACAACTACTTTTAAACCTTGCTAGCCTAAATGGATCCGCAGCTTCAACTTGCTAAGCCCCCGTTGTCTAATTGGATAATCTATATGCATAGCGAACTGCTTTACGCACTGTTTTAAACAGTTTGTAACACTGGCAAGGAATTGATTGGTTTGAAGGAAATTAAAAGTGAAAAGATGCAGCTTAAAAGTGCGCTTTAAGCGAACTGCTTTAAAATGACTGAAAAACTGATTTGAAATATTTTTTAAACGTTGTGCAACACTAAAAGCTATTAGTTAGCTTTACATTAATCTCATTTACAACGTAGAATTCATTGTTGGACATGGAGTTGTTTTATCCCAATGACCGTGAGTTCATTCGTGGATCTAGTTTCAAAAGTAACTAGTTCCGCATTAGCTTACTGGTTCAATTGAAGAAGTGTTCAGGGCCAGAACTCTACATTTGCAGGGGCTTTCATTGGGCGTCAATGGCTAAGCAAATATACGACGACGCTGCCCAACAGCTGCGCTAGCTGAACTGATAACAACAGATAAGAGCGAACGGCCAATGAATGGCAACAAAGGGTGCGAGAGGGAGATAGAGAGAGAGAGAGAGAGCGCGCGCGCGCCTGCCTACCCCCTGTTGACAATTGCTGTGCGCCTGGTAAATGCCTACGGTTAACGCAATCAGCAGACGCAACTCTTGCTGCAAGATCGGCCAACAATATCAAATTGATAACAATGACAATAACAATGGACAGTATAATAATAACAATAAGAATATCAACATAAAAGAGAGTTGCGAATACTTACATAGTCTTTGTCTGCGCCAGCGCCTGCGCCCACAGTTGCGCCATTGGCAGCGACGCCGCTGCCGCTGCTGCTGCTGGGCGATTGATGTGGATGCGATGCTGCCGGATTGCCGGTGGCTGATTCGAAGAGTGTTGTCGGATCGCCGCCAGATTCTCGATATTTCTCCACATCGGAGAGCAATCGCTCCAGATATTCGACATAGAGTGTCTCCTGTTCGAGCTCCTTGCCCAGCTCGGCAATTTTCAGTTTGTGCCGTTCGAGACTGCCGCGCACATCCTGCACCCAGTCATCGGATAGAGAGCTTTGTGGAAACCGTTGCATCCACAAGCGTTGAAAATCATCGAACACGCTCATTTTACAGCTACGGCCAGCAGCAGCTGCACCAGCTGCTCCCCCCTTGGTGATTGTTGTTACTGTTTCGGCGGCTGCTGCTGCTGCTGCTGCGCTGCCTACTATGGTGAGAGCGAAAGCTTTGAGTATGGCTTGGAGCTTGAGCTTTTATGTAAGATGCGCCAGTTGTGCGTTGCGTTGCGTTGCGTCGCCCTGGCCTGCCTGTAAAGGTGTGTGAGTAAGGGTGTGAGCATGTGCATGTGCATGTGCATGTGCATTTGTGTGTGTGTGTGTGCCTGCATGCAGGAGAGCAAATGCGCGCTCTCTGCATCCTGGATCAACAACAAAAGCAACAACAGCAGCAGTCAACGAATCATCAACGTCGAAAACAACAAGAACAACAACAACAACAATAGCAGCAGTGAGCGCATCACGACTTTTGAAAGGTTTTCAGTTTCAGTTTTGTGTTTCTGTTTTGTTCTTATGCTTTGCTTGTGCTGCCACTGACTGCACTTGCACTTGTAGTTGTAATTGTGTGTGTTTGTGCTTGCGTGTTGTTGTTGCTGCTGCTGCTGCTGCTTTGCCCTTTCTGGTGCGTTTGTATGCTGCGTCTGTGTCTGTGTGTGGAACTGCAACGGGAGATGCTTCGTTTTTTTTATTTTTTTGTTTTATTTCTTTTAGTTTTAGTCTTAGCCAAGGCCAAAGAGTTGTTGTGCATCTTCGCCAGCTACGTTGGAGGCGCAGACGCGTTCATTTTGTTCAGTTTTCACGCACACACACAAACACGCACACATATGCATTTTTAGTGGCAGTGCCGCTCCTGCTGTTGTTGTTGTTGTTCTTGTTGTTGAGACTGCGCCCCTGCCCATGCCACAAGCACACTTACATATGCAGATCCTTTTTTGGGGTCGACCGACGCGCGGTTTGGTATTTATTTTGTTTTATATGCCATTTCACTTTATATTATTTAATTCCAATTAGATTTCGCTTCTTAAAAAAAAATCACTTCGCGCACACATATAACCGACAACACATACGAGCAGATGAGAAGACATTTGCATATACATATGTATGCATTTGTATTAGGGATGTTAAAAATACATCGATATGTCGTATATATCGATAAATACGCGCAACTATATACGATTTTGAGCAAGCGTTTTCAACCACTGGCTACATTTTAGTGCTATCGATTAGCCGTTTGCAATTTAAATCTATCGAGAATATTATTTGAAATTTACAATAAACGGTTGCTCAAACATGATTAAATTATTCATAAAATATTGAATAATGAATTTCTGTCATAAATAAAGGGCAGTTTTGAAAATAAGCGCAGGTATCTAAATAAATGCTGAATGAGTACCAATAAACAATGCAACATTGGTCAACACTAATGTACTCAATATTATCGAACTGTTGTGCTTATTTCCAGTAGCTATGCAGCCCTGTAGTAACGGAATTTTGTGTGCACTTGTAAACGAATGTAAACTATACAAATGTAAAAACTTTATGCATTACGGCTTTTTCTTTAAATAATATGTATTTTGTATTCTTAAGCGGGGCTTTAAGCAGATGTTTTGCTTACCGATAGTTTTGAAACTTAGTTTTTGCGCCTAATTGCTAATACATTATTAGAAATATGAGATATGACCTTTAGCTTTAAAGAGAAAGCTCGAGAGTTATCGATTACAAGTTATCAGGTAATAATCGGGCTACCACCCACACAATAAGTGTTGGTAAGCCGAAATTGGGTTCGTTAAATGTTGGGCAGCGCCCAAAGATTCACAACCGTTAAAGTTTAAATTGAATAATTTAACGGATCTCAAATAGGAGTTTAAATAACAACTAAAATATGGAGATAGCTTTGACGATAGATTATGTTTGGCTAGCGCTTAACCATGTACTTTACGTACGTGACCAAAGTCTAACAGCTGTGCAGAAAAATAGAATTTATCTTAAGCCTGAATGCTTGATTCGTTTGCCTAAAAATAGCTAATAAACTAATTAATTTGTGCCGCCAGCTGCTAATGAAATGCCCAGCACAAAGACGATTTAAATACATATAGATATATATATATATAAATAGATAAACCGAGAACTGATTTGTAATACTAATGGAATGTTGGTATGTATTAACATCTGTGAGGTGATTAACGCTTAATTCCAATTACTATTTTAAGTTTTGACCTTAACTTATGCAGAATTGGCCCTTATCAGCGCACAGATAATATTGGTATATAATCAAAGTCTTACGGATTTGATTAGACGTTCAGGTTCAAATATACACAAATATCTACTACTTACGCACTTGTCGGCAAACTCCTTTGGTCTTGGCCCCAGTCTCTTAGTCAGCCAACAGCACACAAAACCCACTTTCTAGCACAAATCACGCCATGACGTAGCCAAAATACGGGCCACAGCCCAGAGACAGAGCCCGTGGCTAATACCGTGTCTATCTACAGGTTCTTATCTCGATCCCTCGATATCTCGGCTATCGCCGGATATGGGCCTGGATATCGTTATAAAAGTCATGGCTACCATTCAATTCCTCTTATATGGTAAACGGTTCGCGTTTCAAGCGCATAATTTATTCTATTTTTTTTTTCACCTAATTTAAGCGATTTCTAAAAGAAAAACAAATACAAAATGTCGTAAGTAAAGTGAGAATTAATGTGAAACGGATTCTGGACTTGAAAAGGAAATAAGTGTGAGAAGTGTGACAAGAAACTTTATAGATTGACCGAAGAGTTCTAAAGTTGTCTTTTGTGCAAGATTTTGATATACTTTCATAGGGAAAAGTGAACAATTAATCAGTTTTGCCCAGGCGAGCGATAGGATTCTGCTTATATATAAGGTGCATAGGAGCATGGGATATTGCTTGAACGGCTGTCCACTTCTTTGAAAGACGTCGCTTCATGAGATCTTCGCTCCCGCTAGGATTGAGCCTCTTTAAGGTTTCCTCCAGGTTTGCTTAAGATATCTAGAAAAAAACAAAGTTGTTATTGATGCAAGAACTCAATATTCAAGCAATAATACCTAGAAAGGCCATATGATATGGGTCTCCGATTGGGCAGTGGATCGTGTGATTAGGATATCTCTTGTCGGCTTAATCTCAAATCTGAATCTTTCTCGCTTTCACATTGTTCAGCATTTGCTGCAAGACATTCGCCGTCGTTTGGATACTGTTGGTGCTGGCCATTGTGGGCATTACCTTGGGCCTGATCTTTGGCCTGGCCGGCGAGCCGGAGCGTCGTCGCATTGGCGCTGTGGCCTCCAATGGCGCCGGTTGTGCCGAGATTGGCGGCAATATATTGGATGAGGGTGGATCTGCCGCAGATGCGGCAATTGCGACAATGCTGTGCGAGGGCGTTGTCCTGCCGCACAGCCTGGGCGTGGGCGGTGGCTTTATGGCCACCATATACTCCAAGGAGACGGGCCATGTGGAAACGTTGATTGCTCGCGAAACGGCGCCGGCGGCGGCCACCCAAGATATGTTTGTTGGCCAAACGAACGTGGCGGGCGCTTTATCCTGTGCTGTGCCCAGTGAGATCTTTGGCTATTGGCGGCTGCATGATAAGTACGGCAAGCTGCCCTGGGAGCGTCTCTTTCAGCCCACCATTGAGATGTGTAGGCGTGGCATTCTGGTGTCACGCTATTTGGCGGGCGTGTTGGCCAACAATGAGGATATCATACGCAACGAGATCTCAATGGCAGAGATATTCATAAATCCGGCTACCAATAATCCCTACAAGGAGGGCGAGATCATGTATCGTCGCGTGCTCGCCGATACCCTGGAAATTGTGGCCACCGAGGGGGCGCAGGTCATCTATCGCGGCGGTCGCATTGGCCGCATGCTCGCCGAGGATATACAGGCAATGGGCGGCATTGTCACCGAACAAGATCTGCAGGACTACGAGTGAGCATTCCTGTTTCTTTTAATTCGCTTTGTTTGTTTTTGTGTCTGCAAAGATGTCGCAGTTAAATCTGTTCGATGCAAATAACAGTTAAGCATAAACACGATTAATCGCTCCGCACTAAACATTAATCGATAACATATCGTGAGCTTGTTGTTGACGTGGCGTTGCCAGACAGTGGCGCGCAATTTGAATTGTTCGTTTTTAGCTAATGCTATGCTCGTTCTCTCTCTTTCGCCGACTGCAGAGTGCGTTGGGAGCAACCGCTGCGCGCTCGCTTCGACAATGGACATGAACTGTACACCTCGCCATTGCCCAGCAGCGGCGCCGTTCTGACATTTATTTTAAATGTCATGGAACCGATGTATACGAGCAGCAGGGACAAGTATTGGCATCGTTTGATTGAGACCTTCAAGCATGCATACGGGCATCGCACCAATTTGGGCGACATACATTATGAGCCCTCGGTGCAGGAGACATACGAGAGTCTGATCGATCCGGACTTTGCGGCCGAGATACGCAAGCTCATCCTGGACGATCGCACATTTGAGGATATGTCCTATTATGGCGCCAATTTCAGCAATGTCGAGGATCATGGCACGGCGCACATTTCGGTGCTGGCGCCAAATGGCGATGCCATCTCGGTGACCAGCACAATCAATGGTCATCTGGGCGCCAAGGTGCGCTCCCGCCAGACGGGCTTCATACTGAACGACGAGATGGACGATTTCTCTACGCCGGGCCTGGCGAATGCCTATGGCATACCCGCCAGTCCGGCCAACTATATTAAGCCCGGCAAGCGACCCATGTCCTCCACCTGCCCCAGCATTATTCTCGACGATGCCGGCAATGTGGCGCTCGTGGTTGGCGGCGCCGGCGGCTCCAGAATCACCACATCTGTTGCACAGACCATTCTACATTATTTTGTGCTACGCGAACCCATCCAGGAGGCGGTCAACGGCGGCCGGCTGCATCATCAGCTGGCGCCCATGGTGGTCGACTCGGAGCCAGAGGTGCCCAACCATACGATCAATCATCTGCTCAGCCTCGGTCACAAGGTCAACTTTTTGCCCAAAAACAAGGCATACTCGGCCCTAACAGCCATTGGCTACATGGACACCGAACCGGAGCCCGTCTGCGATCATCGACGCATCGGCAGCGCCGTTGTCGTTGAGCTCTTCAATGACAATTGATGCGTGATCTCAGCCGGAAGAACACACACACACACACACACACACATGCTCACGCCCGCGAATATATTACCCGAATATGTGTTTCTCTGAAATCGTTCAATAAATTTGACTACATCTGGTATTTGTCTAGCCACATACCAAATTTCCCAACTCCAGCTTGTCCACGCGCCGAGTTCAAAGGGAGCCGGCACTTTGGCCAGGTTAAGATTATATAAAAGATAAGATCAGAAACAATCACAGAAAGCTAGACCACAAGAGATAAGAGGTGGTTTTTCTTATAAAAAAAAAGAGATAATATTGTTGGTCACACGAAAGAGAAACAGAACGAGAGAGAGAGAGAGATAGAGAGATAGAGAGAGAGAGAGAGAGAGAGAGAATTCTTAAAAAATTCTTTAAAAAAACGCATATTTCACAACTTTTACAAACTAACTAAAATAAATAAACAATTTAATCAATTAAAAAGATAAAGAACATTTTAAAAATTGTAGCCCTGAGAACTATCTTTAAATAATTATAAAATAGAGCCAAAGACAATATAAACAATATTTATATTCATAATTGTCTTTGTTAGAACAAGCTCCGAAATAATATAAATATAAACAGAATATCGTGTAAATTATTATATGATAATTATGAAAATTATATTATAAGAAAATGGGTCACATAAGCTAGTTAAAAAAAAAAGATCGAAAAACTTTGCATAAAAGAAAAATTGTGAAACGCATAATTGCTGAAGAAATTTGCGATACGAGCCTAAAGATCTAAAGGTTATAGTATTTCGATGCTGATAAAATTTGGCTAAATATGCGAGAGGCAAGCTGCAAGTCGTAAAATAAAATAAATTTTATAAAACAGAAATAGGGTTCATAAGAGAATAGCTATATGATTTCATAAGGAAGCGAATCGAACTTAAGAGACGGACATGACTAAGAATATATATTTCAAATCAACTGTCGATCAGTCTGAATGAAAATGGAATTTAAAAAATTAATTTATTCATTGGAAATTTGATAATTTCGTGTATATTGTTGACAGCAGTTGGGAGTACCAATAAAAGGGGTTCCATGACACACTATATATATATAAATATATATATATCTGATGTGTGTGGAAACAGTTTTACAGAGTATACAACAACAATGTGTATAAACATAATTGAGATATGCAATGGCTTGTAAATGTACAATCAATTTGAACGGGTAGCAAAAATATGAAATTTCTTTGTGTTTCCTTCTGCTTGAGTGTGTGTGTGTGTGTGTGTGTGTGTGTGTTCATATTGCATAAGGGTTTGGTCTTGCACTAAACTACGGCACCAAATTAAGGTATCTAAACGAAACAAAAATTATTGCATTTAATTTAACAAATTAACTAAAAGCAGCGCCACATAACATCATCCCCATAAGTTCAGGGCAATCGGACTGAACTTTAATTTGGTTGAGTGTGCCTCGAGAGAGAAAAGACTTTCAAGGGGCGCTGCTCAGAATTGAGATGTGTGTGTGTGTGTGTGTGTGTTCGGAAAGTTGTGGCGGAGGGCGGGCGGCGGTTCGAATTAGTCGTCGATGCGCGTTGGTCGCTTTTTGGCCATTTTACGCTTTTTATGCATCGCCTCCATGCGCATATCCTCCAGATCCTCTTGTAAACCTGCCGAACAAACGAACACAATTAGATTTGGAGGGGGCAGGGGCACAGACTGGGCATACGCACCTAATTTCTTACTAATAAACTCTTCGCGCTGCACTTGAGCAAAGCTGGATTCCATTTGGGCATCATCCTCGTCGAGATCGCGATATCGGCGCTTATCATAGCCAAAGATGTCGCGTATATGCGATGATATATCCTCCTCGCAGTCGCCATCGTCAATAAAGTCGTCCAGCTCGGAATCATACTCGGAATCATCATCATAAATGCGTCCTGCAAAATTATTGCAAATTTGAGTTTAGTTCATAACAATATTAACTATAGTAAAGCTAAGCTAATTACTTTTAATTACTTAAGTAATTTACGCCAAAAAAATAAAGTAAATACTTAAGTAATTACAATAGAAAGGTTTGGCTTAAGACTGGCTAATTAACTAAGCTGGGCATTTTATGATTTAACTTTAAAAAGTTTCAAAGCTCAAGAGCTTGCTTTAAAATTAATTACGGCTCGAAGATGGCAAAATTAACTACTTAAGTAATTAATGAATTCATTAATTAATTACGAAAAGATTAATTTCTATTTAGCTTATGATTAATTACAATTGAATTAAACATTATGGGTATCATAGTTAGTTAACAGCTTCTAATTCTTGAAACGGCACTCACTTTTGTTGCCCGGCTCGGCTGGCTTGCGTCCGGTTGCGGGCGCTCCACCACGTCCACGTGCATCGACTGGCAACGGCCGGCGGTTGGTCGGTCGCTGGACATCGGCTGGCGGAAATGCACGCGTCTTGGAGGCGTCTCGCGGCGGAAATTCACGTGTGCCGCCATTCTTATTGACGGACGCATACGGATTACGAGATTGCAAACTTCCACTGGGCTTGGCGTTGGCCCCGGCTGAGGCAGAAGCAGAAGCAGCCGCACCAGCTGCAGCTCCAGCTGAGACTGGCCTTGTCCCGCTGCTGGCCGCGGGCGGACGTTTGGCGGCATTGCTGCTGCTCCCGCTCCCGCTCCCGCTGGCTGGCTTTGTACTGGCACTGAGTTTGGCGCTGGAGCTGCTGGGCGCTGTGCTCGCCGGCCGTTTAAGGCTATCACTTGTGGGCTTTGTTTTGGATTCGCTGGCACTGGACGGAATTGCTGCTCCGGCTGGAGCTTTGGCGGGCGGCGCCTTATTCAGCTTGGGTATGCGTCCGTTTGGCGCCATGACGCGCTGCTGGCTGTTGCCGTTCTCTTTGCGCTGCTCCTTGGCCTTCGCCTCCGTTTCGCGCATGCGTTCGCGCTCGGCACGCTGCTCCTTCCATCGCTGGCGCTCCTCCTGTTCGCGCTTCTCTCGCGCCGACAGCAGACGCTCCGGCTCCTTTTTCTTCTCGGGCATGGCAATGTTGACGGGCTCGTGCTGTTTCTTCTCGGCCAGGCGCAGCAGCGCCTGAAAGTCCATGGGCGGCGGCTGCGCTGGTCGCTTTACCTTGGCCTTTTTCTGTTCCTCCTCGCGCTTCTTGCGCTCCTCGTCCCGCCGCTCGGCATCCGGATCGTAGAGCTTCTTGTCCGCGGTGCCATATGCGCGCGCCACCTGCGGCTCCTTGTCTGTGGAGCGTGGCGTCGAGCCATGGCTGATGCGCTGGCGTGTATGCGTTTTGGCCTCCTCCCGTTCGCGTGTTATGGCCGCCTTGACGCGCTCCTTGGTGCCGGATAGATCGCGTACAGATTGCGGACGACTGGGCGCAAAGCCCTTATCCTCCTGCACATCCTTGACCTTCTCAATGTATTTCTGATATAAGGCATTCGCCTCGGTCGACACATAGCCATAGTCATCGCCCTCCGGCTGTTCGCCGGCGCCCAGCGCCATATTATCACAGTCCTTGGCATCCTCCAGCACCGATTTGTTAGCCGATTTTGTGACCTTCAACATTTTGCGTATCTTATTCTTGGACTTCTCGTCACGCATGGCCAGCAGGCTGTTTAGCTTCTCGCGCTCCTGTCGCTTGCGTTCCGCCTCCTCCGCCTCGCGCTTCTTCAGGAATTTCTGTATATTGCTGGACAGCTGTTTGCTCTCCTTGCTCTCCTTTTTCGGCGGCGCATATTTCGTGCTATAGTACTTTCCCTGCTTGAGAGGGATAAGAGAAATGTGAGCCACTTGTTGAGATTGGACAACTGCCCCACCCCCCTTCACCACCCTCTCACTGAGACAGCACACACACACTCGCACACCCACACACGCACACACCACATTTTGGGGTCACTGAATGACCCACTTGGTGGGGTACATTCTGGCCGTTAACGATAAGAAGAGTTGTGGCACGGTCAGAGCTGTGGCGTGCTGCTTACCATATGTGCAGAGCGCTTTTGTTTACCATTTGGTGTTATTAGCAATAAAAGTGCATCTTACCCGTATTTAGGAGTTTTAAGCGAAAGTAAACCCACACACACAAAACCAACCTCTTCTTTAGTGGCTGCATCGTTGTTCTTTTTGGCATAGTGCAGCAGTGCACCGAAATCCATTGTGGGGTCTTCAATTTGATTAAAACTGCGACTATAGTTTGTTGACTTGTTTTTCAAATTAATAAAAATCGTTTGACTGCTTATTCTTTGTTCGAGACGTACGTACTTGTCAGCTGAAAACTCTAGAAAGACTGGCGATTAGTGATGTGCCCAGCGATGGCATATTCAACGATTAATCGCTGCAAGTACTTGCATGCAAATAATCGCCTTACTGTTATCAACTACTCAGCTTGTTATCAAAAGATTGTTTTCTAATCACAATTTTTCAATTGATCTTATTAATACATTTTTAAACTTGCTAACTAGCCAATATGTTGCAGTTATAGTGCGCTGTTTATTTTTGACCAGCAAGCTATTCGATACTATTGCTGCGATAGTTGCTGCATTTGCTACTTACTCGAATGGTATCGAAAATTGTAATCGATGTTTTTTGTGCAAGCAACAGGCAACTTTTATCGCAATTCAATCATTTAAAGTGCGCTCTTTTTTGTTGCATCAACGCGAACATAAATTTATAGTGTTTATTTATTATACAAAGAAGAAAAAAAATTGTTTACTCAATAGATAGAGAGAGAGAGAAAGAGGGAGATAAAGGCAAAGCAACTTTGTGTTGAGCTGTGGCATGCGGCTCAAATCTCAGGATAGGCGCTGCCAATGAGGCTCTTGCCTCTGTAGCGCCACGAATAGGTGACAATGCCGAACTTGCTGTTGCCCAGAGAGACGGGGCAGGTGCGATCCGGACGCAGCTGAAAGCAGACAGTGTACAGGGCCAGCTCCAGCTCCGGCGAGGTGCCAATGAACATGGTGTCCACCGGCTTGTTCAGGCCCTGATGCGCGAACCGCACCTTCAGCACTTTGCCCTTCTGCAAAGGTGTGATGAAATACGGATAAAGTGTTTACTGGGCACTTGAATACTAGCTAGGCTTACCGTGCCAATGTCCTGCTCCTTCATGTAGCCCTTGTAGTCGAAGCGACCGGCCTGCTCCTCCTCGCTGACATAGACCCAGTTATGGAAGCCAATGATGGTGCCGTTCTTCACCTCGTGCACAAAGACATGCTCGAAGCCGGAGCTACCGATTTTGCCCTGTCCGCGCGAATACTGGGTGAACCACAGCTCCTTGACAAGATCGCGATGCGTTTTCGGATCGGGCGTGACCAGGCCCTTCTGCTGCAGGAACAGCATGGCCTGCCGCATTACGCTCGTGGCCATCACAGCGTCAAGGAACTCATTCTCCTCCTTACGCTCGTTGGCGGTCACATGCTCATTGACCAGCGTGTCCTGCTCGTAATTGTTGAACAACAGCCGCATCTTGGCAATGGTCGACGGCTCCAAGGCCTTGGCATCCACGCTCAGCAGCCTGCCAATGGAAACCATTTGCATTTGGCTGCACTGCATCAGGAAATTGATATATTTTCTTTTACTTACGGCTGCGGCGCCTCATCGCCGCTGTCAATGGAGCGCGTGCGTCCCTGCAGATTCACGGTTATGTGGCTCAGCTGGCTGTTGGACTCCTTGGTGTACAGCTGTTCGGTTAGCTGACGTATCTCATCGTCGGTGGCCACCGAATTTCCCGTCGACTGAAAGCCCGGTCGCACGGTTGTCGTGGAGCCAGCCGTGTGCGGCACAAAGGAGACACCACCACCGCCGCCACTCGTGCTGCCAGCTGGCGTGCCGGGCGTAACAGCTGCCGGAGCTGGCTTGACAGCCGGCACAGCTGGATGAACGGGCGTCGGCAACGGCGCCTGCCAGGCGGATGGCGATGTTGGCGTGCTTGGCGTTGGCGAGCCGGGCGTTTTCGGCGTGGGCAATGCCGGATAATCCTCCTTCAGCGAGGGTCGTCGCGGCACCGGCAACGTGGGAAACTCATCCTTCTGCTGTGCTGGCCTCACCGTGCTGGTCGTGGAGCTGCCAAAGCGCACATCAATGAAGCCCGGCTGCACATTCGTGCGCGGTCGCTGTGTGCTCGTGGTCGTAGTCGTGGTCGAGGTGCTCGTCGTCGTGCTGCTGGTAAGCGGCGCCAGGCCAAAGCCCGGGTGTGGCGCAGCGCCACCGCCCGCAGCGCCTGCTGCACCGCCGCCCGAATAGCTCAAGTCAAAGCCGCTCGGCTGCGGCTTCTGTGGCCGATAAGGCGCAAAGCCGGGCGGCAAATTGGGCGCTGTCGAGCCGCCAGCGACGCCAGCGGCGCCCAGGCGGCCCGTTGTCGCCGCAGTTGGCAGCACCGGCTGCTGACCTGCCGTCGGCTGTGCCACCGCCGGCCATTGTGGGCCGTGAGCGGGCGTCGAGCCAAAGGGCGATGAGCTGGGCGTATCCGGACGCGGTCCCAGCGGCATAAGCGGCGCATGCGAAATGACAAGCGGCGGCAGCTTCTGGGGCGGCTTTGCTGTGGTTGTTGTTGTCGTCGATGTTGTTGTTGTTGTTGTTGTTGAGGTGGAGCTGGCGGCGTCGCTGCTGCTGCTGCTGCCGAAGAACTTCTTGAAGCCGCCGAACCAGCCGGATTTCTTGGTCGTTGTCTCCACATCTGGCGCTGGCGTTATCTCAATTTCGCTCCTGTAGCCAGCTACCAGGTGTGAATCAACAGGTAAGTCGTACAATATATATATATTTTACCTTCTTTGAAATCTACCTACCTGTAATTCGGCACTGGCCGGCGATGACAACGCAAACAAACAACGCGCTCAATGCCAGGCAACGCATTTTGTTGCTGTTGCTGTTTTTTTTTGTTGCTTTGCACGATTGTTGTTGTATTTTATTATCACTTTGCGCTACTTCTTCGAGTTAATACGAGGCATAAACACAACCAACTGGTCAGAGATTCAGCGCACGACTGAGACCTGAGACCTGGGACCTGAGGCCAGCGACAGAGACACAGCTGCCGCTGCGAAACGGGCATCCGCTTCGTCTTTGCGCTTGTTGTTGCTTTTGTTTGTATACCCTGTAAACCCATTGGCAACGGGTAACTTGGTTTTGTGCACATGTACGTAACAGGCAGAAGAAGGCATCTCTGTTCCCAGGACTCGCTCTTCTATTCGATCTATGTCCGCTTGACTGAAAACTACAGCGAAATAGGTTTCATTTCTTTTTCGATACTTTTCATAAAATCGATAAATATCGATTGTTGTTCATTATTCTTTGAGCATAACTGGAGAAATGTCAGAGCTACAAATCCTAAACTTTGTATATAGAACATATATATTTAAAATATAGCTAGAGCCTTACGCACATGTTTTGCTTGACATAATCAAGCTTTGCAAATTTCATAAGGATCGGACTATAAGCACCGAAGTTAGTCAAGTATGTGCGACTTAGGGAATCAGAAGATTTGTATACATATATCATTGTGTTCCTAATCTGTCGAGTCGAATTCGACATCTTTTTCCACTGTCTCACCGTCTGTCTGTCTGTCTGTCCGTGGTCTGCCCGTCCGTCTGTCCGATCTATCTTGAAGCATATATGAACTAGAGACACCAAATTTGGCATAAATTGGAAGGTACTTCTCCCCCTTTCCACTATATTAAAAACAAACACATCATTGTAGGTACAGCCTTGGGCTTTGGTATACACACACTTTAATATGCCATCTTTAAGAGCTTTAAGAGCCATAAACTCCCCAGTTATATCATTTATCATGCCTGCTTATATTTTGTTGTAGGGTATACCCTAGTCGAGCACGTGTAACTGGAGCGCATTTACTTGTTTTCCTTTTCTATTAATGAGCTGCTGTAGTCGCTGTCGCAGTATTTAGCGTAGGTTTGGGCCGCAGAAGGCTGCGCTACCTCGATTCGCTTGGGGCATTTGAGTTTTAAGGCGTGCCGTACCTTATGCTGGTTGTATGGCAAGCAGCTTTTGTCTGGCTTTCCGAATGCAGCTCTGTCCTTTTGACCGTCTCTCTCTCTCTCTCTCTCTCTCTCTCTTTCTCTCCCTCCCTGTGCGGTCTGCTGTAATGCTTCCTATCTGGAAAATACTTTTCTATAAAATTATGAGAATTGAAAAAAATGTTTTTACAATCATAATCTTAATAAAAACTTTGAAGAGGTTAAATGGAACTTTTATTTATATTAAATATTATACTATATTTTTTATATATATCTATATGCATGATCATGGGATAGTTTGCATTTTTGAGCGCATGCACTCTGATATTTTTTGTTGTTCAGATGCAAAACAGGTTGTTCGAGGCGCTGGAGTTACCCAACCGCTAAACCTGCTCTAGGCACGATCTTTGTGAATGCGCAAAAATATTGTATACATTTGTATGAAATGGATTAATTACATTCGTTTAATATATGTGTGAACTAAGATATTGAATTTTATTAGTTTAAATATAAATAGTTGGAAAAATAGTTCTTGAAAATTTACAAAAATTAGCATTTGCTCTAGGTGAGCTACAATTTTGGAACTTTTGGGTTTTTTTTAAAAAAGAATTGTTTGCCATTTAAAAAAGTTGTCTGGTTTTTCACATTTCTAAGCTAAAGCTAGAGCTCGAAATTTTGCTTTAAATTTTATAATTACATTTATTGAGTTAAGAGAGTTTTCCAAAACTATATTCTGATTCTAACTCTTTTAAGTATTCAGTTCTAGCTTAGGTTCGGGTCGCTTTCCAACTAATCCTCTTTACGGTTCTATATGTGGTATATGAAAATTCCACTCGGTCTGGTTCAAAGCTTAAACAGTTGGAAGATAATGAAAGTGCGATTCGGGTTTGAATGTCCGGCTTGAACCGGTTCGTTGGCAAACCGGTTAACCGCTTAACAATAAGTTGAATTATCGCAGCGCATGGACAAGTCGTTGCAGTTGAATCTTGCTCGAAAGTGTGCCCAATTTCATTTGAACTTGTGAGCTGCGCGACTTGAGAATGGGCTGGCGAGAGGGGGTGGTGGGCGGCGAGAGGGGGAGGTGGGAGGTGGGCGGTTTGTAGGCCTTTCAAAACGTGCCGCAATTATGCTCTGCAGCTTGATTATGCGCTTTAATTGCAACCGGAAGAAATGTTAAAAAAAAAACAAATATAGAAATTCCGAAAAATGGTAGAAAAAAAATAGAATTTTGCACATTTGATTTGATTTGATTGAGTTTGATGACTTACATAAAATGTTGTCTCTTCTCTCTTCGTGCATCTCTTTCGCACAATTAAACCCCCCGCGCATTCACCTGGGAAACGGGGTATTCGGGTGCAACGGCGACCCCAATTCCGCTGAAAATGTCGAATCGAGTACTCACAATTATAAAATGCACTCGTTTTTTTTTTAGTCTTTGTTGTAGTTGGATGATTTTGTTCTCATTTTTGTTGTTGTTGTAGATGTTGTTTGCTTTGAGCTCATTTCTAACAAATAATAAAACTGGAAACTTGAAACTGTGGAACGCTTATCAATTTTGTATACGAAAAAGGCCATTAGCAAAGGTTACGCATTTCAAATATGTATATTTATATTCATATACATATCTGTTATACACTCAGACATTACGTACATTAGGGACACATCCGTTGGGTACAATAATTGTGTGTGCATATATGCATTGGGATATATCGATTTTTGTACTATTGGTATAGATATAAAGATTTTTGTATTTATGGATTTAAGAAGCTTTCGTTTTATAAATACATTTTGTATTATGATTTTTGAGACCCAACATATTTATTTCCATTTATTTTTTCGATTTGTTGAAGTTCTCAACATCTAGTACTTAGTTTACAATATACATTCCAAATCCATGTCTGTAAACACAAATGAAAGTAAGCAAGTGCCGAAAGTGAAATCTGGGAGATACCCTGGACCCAGTTCCAAACTATTCTTACGGTCTACATTCTAGCTTTCATCTGCCTGGCCTACATTAATTCATGAGAATCGAGGAGTAAGGCACCGCTTTAAAGTCCTTTGATTTCGAATTTAAAGCGCAGCTTGAATTTAACTTTGTCTACATTTGCTTCATACATAAAAACATACATACGTGCATACATACATGCATGCATACATGCAAACATACATTTATACATGCATGCGTACATGCATACATACACACATTCGTACATACATACATACATACATTCATACATGTATAAATATGTGCATACATGCGTACATACATTCATACATGCATACATATGTACATACATGCATACCCACATGCATACAAACATGCATATATACATGCATTTATAATTGCATACATATGTACATACATGCAAACATGTATACATGCATATATACATATATACATGCAGACATGCATAAATGCATACATTCATACATGCATACATACACGCACACATACATACATGCACACATAGATACCAATAGAAAAGGCTTATGTCCATTCTTGGGAGGAAAATGGAATTTATTCAAAAAGTGAAATATTCCCAAACTGTGTATACTTCAAGCAATATATATATGTATATATGTATAACTTTTATAATTTTCGAGCTATGTCAAAAAACCAGCTCTCAAAATCGATATAAAGAAAATTTTGAAAGTATGTAAGAAATATCGAGTAAACCAAAACGTAAAATTTTAGCCTTGACCCAGAGAATAGTCTAGATTTGTGAACTAGTTTTATTGGGCTTGTGGAATATCATGTTTAGGCTTTATAGCATAAATTTCGACTCGTCAGCAAATGCCGTTTCGAATCACAGAACTTCATATAAGCTAAAAACTTCCGATGTCTAAAAGTACAGCTCTTAAATGTGCTCAAATTTGGAACATAACACACATGTGTTTAACATATCAGAAAGAATTTTCTATGAATATGTCGGAATTTTTAACGTGTGCTTGAAATTTGGCAAAGAATCTTGAAAATTTAAACATGTGCGTAAAATTTGACAAAGTTTTTTCTATGATATGGTAGAAATTTTAGATGTAGAACTTGGATTTTGTAAACCTGAACCAAAAACCGAACCACCGAAAAGCTTTGTTGGAATTCAAACTATAATTCCTACAAATCAAAGAAAACTTTATCTACTTTCATCCCTTACAACATGTTTTGTTGCTCAACAGAAAAAAAAAAGGATTTTTTGTTCAGATATTCACGCTTATTTTTCAACTAGTTTTATTGGACTGATCTTCAGGTGCTGGGCAAAAAATAATAAGAGAAACAAAAAAAAAACAAGATAAACTAGTTGAAAATATGTAATTGATCGTGAGATGGTCAAACGCTTTAATGGACAAGCTTCTTGCGTATGGTTTCGTCCAGAGGCGGAATGGCCTCGCGTGGTATCAGAAACGTGGACAGATTGAACAGATCCAGGAATACTTTGTACCGATCACTGAAAGAAAAGCGAAAAGAGTAACACGATCAGCGATCGGCTCAGGTAACAAACAAAGAGAGAGAGAGAGAGGGGGGGGGGGGGGGGGGGGGGGAGGGGGTGACGCACCTGAGTGTGGAGCGTAGATATTGATAGCCGGATGAGCCGCCAGTGCCCAGCTGCTGGGAACCGATCATGCGTTGCACCATGATCACATGATTGTCTGTGGAGTGAAAGTGAAATGCGGATAAGCATAAGCCGAAACGGGTGAGAGTTGTGGGATGCCACTTACAGCGCCATTTGGTGATCAGCGAATCGATGTCCATCAGCAGGGTCAGCAGCTGATGGGGCTGGCTGAAGCGCGGCTCATCGCGATAGAACGTGATCATGATGGCGCCCTGGAGGGCGCGATGGCTGAACCGTCGATCGCCGCGCTTCACCAGCGCCTCGTGCACGGCCGGATCGAAGATGGAGCGATAGACTTCGCGTCGCTTCTCGATGTCCATGAGGCGATAGTTTTTGGCCCGCTCGACGGGCTCGAGCAGTGCGCTCTGCACCTGGGCGGCCAGAAACTGATCGACGCTCTGCTGGAATTTCGACCAGAAATTGAAGCCCTCCTCCTCCAGGCCCGGCGTGCGCTCCAGCCAGCGCTGCACCAGCACCAGCAGCGATGGCCCATCCTCGGAGCTGCGTATCGCGTGCAGCGCTTGCTCATCATTGCCAAACACATCCGAATATTTCTGATTGTATTTCACACGCTGTTCGGTGAGGACGCCCAGCTTGTTCTCGATCAGTCGGAATTGCAGCGACTGAAAGCCAGACGCGGGCGCCAGATATTTGCGAAAGTCCATGAAATCCAGCGGAGTCATTGTCTCCAATATGGGCACCTGATCGACCAGCAACTGGAGAACGTTCAAGAAATTGAGTCGAGTTGGGTTTATAAGAAAACATGTTAAGATCTGTCAGAGCGAGGTCCAAGGGAGGGATCAAGGGATCAACAGGAAAGAACCCATTGTAAGATCTTTAAGATCGCTTGTGTGTGTTTGAGAAAATTGGGGAATATAAAGATGGTAATATCTATGAGATCGCTTCAGGAATATAATTAGCTATATAGAGCAAATATTGAGCCAAAGGAAGATTCGCGTTGTACTCAAAAAGATAGCTTGAGATCTTTTGAGAAGTTTAGGTAAGAGGCTCTAGTCGATAGTTCCCGACTAGGGAATACCCTGAACCCTCTTCTATGCGATAGATATAAAAGGAAGGATACTTGATATATTTATATACTATTTCAGAAGCTAATTGTCAAATTTGGTGAGTCTTGCTCTAAAAACCTAAGAGATTTGCTCATTAAACAGGATTTCGATATTTATCGATTGCTTTTAAACGGGGCAAGTTATCGATTACCGGCGGCAAACTCGCTTCAGTTTATATATTTAGATATACATATAGAAATATCGATTTCATTATACGCACTGATAAACTGTGTCATCATTAAGAGAATTTTCTCAATATGATCTATTGATCTATTCAGGTCCTTGAATTTGTTTATTTATGTGCGCAGAAACAGTCCAAAGGGCTTCATTAACAAATCAACTCTTCAGAACTCTCTAAGGCCATAATAAGCATTTATTTATAAACAGAAGTTGAATTCTTTCTATTATTCTGCACCTTTCTTTATTTTATGTATATCTTTTCCAGATTGTATTCAGAACTTATTGAACTTATCTCAGTTGTCATAAAGAGAAACATTATCGATCAGCAGAGGATCATTCGGACTCTTAATCCATGCAGTGCATATTATATGTACATATAATGAACTATTTCCGGAAAAGAAAGAAGGGATTATTTTTTATGCACACAACATAACCGAACTTTACAGTCCAACAGGGATCGTTTTTATATAAGGTAAGATCAGTGCACAGATTTATACTTCAAATTTGTTTTTGATTTTGAGAAATACTTTAGGAAGAAATAGAGATATACTATAAAGATTCTTCAGTTGGGTTAGATGTAAACGACGATCGTTAGATTTGTAGAAAAAGCATAAAAAGATCATAAATATCAAAGATCTTTTGGTGGTAATTTAGAAATTCTCTTGGATTGATGTGGGATCATAAAATGAAGTATTTACTCAAGAAATAAGAAATCAACCTAAGATCAAGATCTTGATCAGTTTTCGATCATGAAGCATCTCTCATCTAGATCTTAACCTTGTTTTGTTTGACAACTAAAAAATAACCCTCTCGCGTATAATCACATCTGAGTCTGTCTAAACTATGTGAAATGTAGATCTGTTTAAGAATATCTGTGGATCGCTTACCTTAAGTATGAGAACGACGCGATTTAAGCGTTTAACGATTTCCAATGTTTTGGTCTCGTCGATGACCTCCGCGTCGAGCATGTCACGTATGGAGTCGAATTCAAAGATGATCTGCTTAAACCACAGCTCGTAGGCTGCCAAGACATACAAATAGCTTGTTAGAGAGAGAGAGAGAGAGAGAGGGAGGAGGAAGAGCAAGGGAGGTAAGGAATCGTACCCTGATGCGTTATGATAAACAAATGCTCATCGTGCACGGGCCGCTTGTCCTCCATGGAGAGCATGCACTGCGCATCCAACAGCTTGTCCAGCATCAGATACTCGCCATAGATTTTGCCCACCTCATTGGACAGCGGAACGGCGCCATCGTCGTGCTCATTGCTGTGGCGACAACCGAATCAAACTGACTGAACGATCGTGTATTGTGTAAAATGAACGCTTACCCATTGCCAGCATAGGGGCAGCTCATGATTGGATTGCAATTGGCAGCGATGCGACTCGCAGCAACTCGAGCCTCAGACTGAGCCCACAAAAAAAAAAAAAAATCAAATATACAAAAATTCAAATCGAATACAAACAAAATAAAACTTAAGATCCACTCGCAGCAAGTTGGCAGTTCCAAGCCAGTGCACAGCTGTCGGCTCTCAGCTTACGGAGCGCAATTCGATCAGAGCTCGCACAGATTCCTATGAATACCCTGTAAAAAAAAAATGTGTGGCTCATGTTCGTAGGAGACGAAAGGCGCAAAATGGGAAAGAAGAGCGCGTTAAAAATGAAGATCTTCTATAGTATGTGCTCCAGTTAAACAAATTTGCCCAAAAATCGATAAATATCGATCAATACCCTGTAAAAAAAAGAGTCGTGCTTATTGTTGCAGCAAAGGGCAGGCGCAAAATCAGAAAGAAGAGGGCGTAAAAAGTGAAGCTCTTTTATTTGTAAACACATTTGCCCACAAATCGATAAATATCGATTAATACCCTGTAAAAAACAAGTCGTGCTTATTGTTGCAGCAAACAGCAAGCGCGAAATCAGAAAGAAGAGGGCGTAAAAAGTGAAGCTCTTTTATTTGTGGACACATTTGCCCACAAATCGATAAATATCGATTGTCGCATATCTCGAGAACTATGGGAGCTATAAGCGCCAAATTTGATATGCAGCTGCTTGAATACCCTAGAAAATCAAGGCATAAAACAATATTTTAATTTGTATAAAATTTAGAAATAATTATTGAGCAAATGCAGCTCCAGGAACAGGCAGGCTGTTTGCAGTTCGCATATTGTTTACAGGGTAGCTGCTAGTCGTGCTCGCCAGCCGGTCTGCGCGCTTATCGCTGTTGTCTAGTGTCGAGTGTTGTTTTGGGGCCTTATCAATGAGAAGGGCTTGTTGCCATATCAAGTCGGAAGGTCGAATCCCATCTTCGTTCAAACTCGCATTTAAACAGCAAATTTTTTGTAGTTTTTTTGTTTTTTTTTTTTTCATATAATTGTTTTTTTTTTTTTTTTTTTGTTTAAAATGTATTTTTGAGTCATTTGGCTCAGTCATATTTTTAAATTTGTTATATAACTTGTTTAATTTAATGTTACCTTTGCATGTTCTTAATATTTTTGTTCTTCGTTTCGTTCTTTCCCTTTGCGTTATTTTAATATCTATGTTTATTTATACATATGCATATATATATATATATCGATTTTGTTGTTGTTGCTTAATTTATTAATGAATACACATTTTCACATTTTCGTGTGTGTCTTGTTTTTGTTTGTTATTTGTTGTTATTTTTGTTGCATGCCACAAAAAAAAGTCGTCATAACCATTCAATAGATTAGTGTATAATATATATATATATATATATATATATATATATATATATATATATATATATATATATTAATTTGTATATATATATTTCATATAATTTGTGAACTACATTTTGCATTAGAAAAAAATTAGTTATAGCTGATATTCAGACAATTAAAACAATTAAGTGTGCTCCAGTCGGGCATGCCCGACTCCCAGATAACCTGAACCCAGCGCCAAGCTGTCCTTACATTCTACTCTCCAGCTACTCACATACATACTCACATACATACACACATACATGAACAAACACAGTTATGCCTCAAAAGGGAAAGTTTTGTAATCGATATTTATCGATTTTGAACAAAACTCGAAAAACTTCTTCTGAATATATATTTCAAACGTCTAGTTTCTTAACTTTTATAAACGATATTTATCGGTTTTGTGCCAAAAGTGAAAAACTCTTGAATACAAATTTCAAATATCTAGTTGTTTAGCTTTTGTAATCGATATTTATCGATATTATTGAAATGACAGGTGATATCGAGAAGAAAGTCTAACTAAATCAAGACATTTTAAATTCACACAGACGGACGAAGGGACGGAAATCGGACTAGGTATATATATATATAGCTTATCAGAGATGCCGACTTCTTCTGTCTGTTACATACGTGCGCACAGAATCGATATACCCGTTTTAACCATTTTCGATGGGTTCAGGGTATAAAAACACAAACAAACAAACTTTTACGTTTTCGTTTCGTTTTTTTTTTCCCCTTACTTTCTTTATATATATATATATATATTTTTTTTCTTTTTCGGTATATATATATTTATGAAATATGCAAATCGCGCTGCTTTTGTCAATTCAAAATTGTTTGTTTAAATGTTTTGTTTGGTTGATTTTGTTATCTTTCGTTCGACTTGGGCAAATTGAATTGTGAATTTTGTTTCGCATTGCGCCTAAAACTGCGCTTGGCTATATTTTGTTCTAATCATGCACATATATATATATATATATAGTTATATATGGCTTATATATATATATTTACTTATATATATATATGCATAAATATATAGGTCTAAGTTCGTTTTGCGCTGTGGATCTAGAACTTTAGATCTATATTTTATATCTGTAGCTCTATCTAACTCGGCGTTGTCTTTGTTCTTGTTTTCTTTCGTAGAGATATATATATATATATCATATAGTATATGCATATACACATATATATACATATATGTATATGTGTGTAGGTTTATCATAGACATTAACGCAATATGTGAATTTTAAAAAATAATATTCGCTTTCGACACGATTTTTTGCTTTCTTCTATTCGTTATGTTTATCATTTTTGCTGTGAATAGTATATCATATATATATACATATATATATGTATATATGAATATACTTATAAAGTATTGTATATACTTTATTTTTATTTTATTTTTACCTGTTTCAAGTTCAAGTTTTTCTAACAAGCTTTTTGGTTTTTCTGTTGTGCAACTTTGGCACTTTTACTTAGAAGTAGATGATTTACGAATGATTTAATAGATAGTACGCATTACACACACACACACACATGTGTGTGGAGACACGCACATATATACACATATAGACGTATTCATGAAACCCAAACAAACTGCAGCTCACAAAATATACGCATGTACCGAAAGCCAGCGGGAGCCACTGAGAAGGTAACACCCAAAAGTACATGCATATGGAATGTAGCGAATAAAAGTTGTATTCCATAAAAATCAAAATCAAAAAAAATAAAATAAATATATATATATATATAGAGTAGCGCTGCATTCGGCGCGCCGAAGTCCAAATACCCTTGCAGAACTAGTAAAAAAAAAATAATAATAATAATTAAATTATATATATTTATATGTAAATATATAACAACCAGTTAACTTGATGTTTAAACTTAAAATCAGCTGATTTTTTTTCGTTGTTTTCGACTTATAAAGACGCTCTGCATCAAATTTGCACAAACATAACCTCAAATTGTGCATGAGAATCGCATAGAAGCGGACAATTGAATACATTTAACGCTACGCTTGACGAAAGTTAACAAATTATAAGGCCCTCTGCATGGGTATTACAAAATATATCGCATATATTTATTATACAAAGTATAACAAAAAAAAAAGAGCGTACATAGTATATTATTATGAAAAAAAAAAGTATATTCAAATTATAATAATAATATATGAATAATTATATACTAACGCTTAAGTATAGTCCCGCTAGTTAAGTTCTTTTATATATGTTATATATATATATAATAGCTTGAAAAAAAAAACACAATTTTTCATACATATTTTTGTCGTTTTTTGGTTGTTCTTTTTCTTTTTTTGTTTCTTCAATTGTGAAGTTTTTTTTTTTTTGGTTTTTTGATTTTGTTCTAGTTTTGCATGTGAGAAAAGTTCGCTATAGCAACAAATTGCACTACATTCAAATATATATATATATATATGTATATATATATATATATATATATATAATATGTGTATATATAATATAATATAATATAATTAAATTTATGCATATTTCACTTTAGCTAAAATCAAATGCAATTTCTTTATTATTGAGCAAACACGTTTGTTAAAGCGAACCAAATTTTAATGAAATCAAAATAATCATAATAATTAATTTAAACATTTTGTGTATATATATTTATGTTTTGTTTTCTTCGTTTTGTTTTTGTTTTTGTTTTTGTTGCATTTCTAGCACCCAGCATGTAATAAATAAATTCTTAATCAATTTTGGTTTTTCGTTCTCTTTCACTTTTGGTTGTTGCATTTCGAACTTAACTTAAAAAAAAACACACAATTTTTCTCAAATTTCAATTTGTCTTAAATTGTTATTAAATACGAGTATTTGTTGTTGTTTTTTTGTTGTTGTCGGTTTTGTCTTAATATTTTGCTGCAATTACTAAACTCTAGTGTTGTTTGCATCACTTTTCGTGCAGTGTTGCGAAGCGCACAATACTGCTGCATACTTCGTGGGGCGGGCAGCCAAAAGATTGAAGGACTTTTTTAGGCTAAACACAAACACACACACGCACGCACGCACACACAGATACACAGCCAGGCAGACAGACAGAGAGAGAGAGAGACAGCTAGAGAGCATGTGCGATAGAGACAGAGAGAGGGAGAGAGAGAGCAACTGAGCTGCTCGCTAGGATCAACGCGTAATCGATTCGAACTCAACGGCAAACTTAAGCAACATTTTTTTGGAAACACTTGAAATACTTTTGTTTTTTTTTTTGGTTTTTGGGTTTCTAAATTTTGTTCGTTCAGAGGTTGGCGGTTTGGCCATTTGGGGCTCATCTGCCGCAGCCGCCGCCGACGCCGCCGGTACCGCCGACGCCGGCGCCGCCGCCCAAATGCACTGAAGTCGCTGACAACTCGACGCGTTGACACTGGCGGCGCTCAACAATGACCGCCGCTGGCAGCGACTATTCCAGCCCGGGTCATACGTTCATCGCATAGTAAACGGATCCCTGAGCTGCGGCAGCGCCCACCTGTTGCTGCTGTTGCTGCTGCTGCTGTTGCTGTTGCTGCTGTTGCTGCTGTTGCTGTTGCTGCTGATGTTGCTGCTGGGCGCTCGTTGGCGAGACCATGGCGCTGCAATCGCTGTGCGAGACGGCAGCTGCGCCCTCGGGCACGCCCCGTTCGCTAAAGCCCGGCATGCCGCCCTCCGGCCCGTATTGATAGTGTTGCGACATTAAACGCTGCTGTTGCTGTTGCTGCTGCTGTTGTTGCTGATGCTGATGTTGTTGCTGGTGCAGATGTTGCTGCTGCTGTTGCTGCTGTTGCTGCTGTTGTTGCTGTTGTTGTTGCTGTTGCTGCTGCTGGGCAGCCGTGTGCTGATGCTGTGCATAGTGTGCGGCGTGGCCACGTCCACTGACCACATGCAGCTGCATGCCAGGCAGAGCATAGCCAATGGGCACGCGTATCGTTTGCTGTGTCACCTGCGGAAAGAATAGATGCTTTAGCAAATGTTTCAGCTACAAATAGGCTTTCCATTGCTTACGCTCTTCCATTGGATAATATTATTATATTATCTGCGATCGTGAGACTAGCCCAACTCATTTACTTTTTAGCTACCATCTCTTAATATGCTTATGATAAAGTCTCTTCTATATTCTATCTATTATGTATCCCATCTGATCCGTACTATCCAACACTGGCAATATTATTCGATATCCTTTCTGCGTCGCATTCATCATTTTCATATTCAATCCATACTTATTTCTGGATTAATCTTGACTTATTTCTTCAACTTTATCTGAGTTTATGTTTTATCCGATCCCATCAATACAATCGAATATTTATTCTGGTTCCAAACCCATCTTGTCTATAGTATATACAATACTTCATTAGAATCTTATCTCATACTAGCTATACTGTTTTTCATCTTATCGTATCTATACCCTTCCATATTTCACTGAATCTCTTCCATCTAAACTATTCCATACTTTATCTAAATCCCTTTTTATATCCAATCCTATACGATCCTATCTATACTAACCCACACTCAATCCGAATCAATCTTGGATGCAATACTACTCTGTTCCATACTCATTCTGAATCTTAACCCTTTGTATCTTGAATCCTACTGGATCTGAATTTATCTAAGCCCGTCGAATCGATACCGTCCCATGCTTAATCCGAGTAGATTCGAACCCCAGCCTCCCCAGTAAATCATATTAACTTGGGATTGAGCAACTTACCTGCTGATACTCGAGTATATTCTGTCGCTGGATGTGGGCCAGCTTGGGATCGACGCTGCTGCTGGTGGCGAACTGGGAGTAGGTCTCGGCATTGTATGGTATCAACACCATCGTCTGGTGATAGTTGCGCAACGGCGGCGGCGACTCCGGCCGCCTGGTCGGGCTGCGTGCAAAGTGGCTGCTATAGCTGCTGTGCTTGCTCTGCTCGATGGCCGTTGCGGTCGCCGTGGCCGTCACGCTCTGACAGTTCTGGGCAGCGGCATACAGCAGGGAGGACGCATCATCGGCGGCGCCCTGCTGGATCATCGTCTGGCGGAACATGGCGCCCGCCGGCAGCGTCTGGTAATATGTCTGCTGTATGGCGGCGGCGGCGGCGGCGTCCACCGGAAAGCGTTGCTGCTCCCCGCTCTCGCTGTAAAAGCTCCAGGTGCGCTGCTCCGTCTTCTGCTGGGCAATGGTATTGGCCTGCAGAGCATTCGCCATTTGCTGCTGCAGCTGCGCCGCCTGCTGCTGCTGCTGTTGCTGCTGTTGCTGTTGCTGCTGTTGCTGTTGCTGCTGCTGTTGCTGTTGCTGCTGTGGCACGTTCTGCGGCGAGGGATTTGGCTGCTTGGCCTGATTGGGCATGGCATAGCCCTTGATGGCCTGCGGCACGGGCTGGCTGCTGATCACCGTTGTGGGTATCTGCTGTGTGAGCTGCTCCTGCATCTGGGCAAGAATCTCGTTGGTGGAGCTGAACTTGGGCTTAATGCCGCGCACCGAGGGCCGCTTATTGAAGCCATAATCGTTCTGTTCGTCGTCGTCGCTGCTCGCCTGTGACTGGCATTGGGAGGCGGTCTCCACGCCCGTATAGCGTTTCTTTAACTGCTCGGTGCGCTTCGCCTCCGCTTGGGCGAAGGCGGCCAGCTCGTCCTGTTGCGTTGTCTCCTGCCCGGGCGTGCCGGCAATCACATCCGGCGCCACCTTGCGCGCCTCATCCCCGCTAGCGCCGGCACCACCACCAGCACCAGCGCCTCCGCCCAAAGCCAAGCCCTGCGCCACCATCGCCGCAGCGGCCGCCTGCTGGGCCACGGCATCGCCAGCTCCCGCGGCAGCGCCCAGCAGCTGGCTCATGTTGTAGTCGGCGGCGGCAGCGGCGGCCGCATAATGGGCGTGCGCATGCGCCGCATGTCCGTGCTGGTGGGCGGCGGCTGCCGCGGCCAGCGTGTAGTAGGAGGACAGGTCGTCCTTGTTGCCCGCCACGCAGGCGGTCAGCGGCGCCAGGGTCGAGAGGAATTGGCGCTTCGGTTCGTTTTGACGCGGCGGCGTACGATGGATTTGCGTGTGCACAACCGGCACCTGAATCCCCATGCCCAGATCCGGTGCGGCGGGGCAGCGGCATTCCTGTTATCGTGGAAAGAAGCAGAGCGTTAGTGGAAGGGATTCGGGCAAATGCTTAAAGCAAAATGTTTGATCCCAAATTTGACAAACTCGCATTTCTATGCCCTAAGCAAATGGGGCTTATCAACTTTTATCGATAACTTCTCATAATATCGATAAATTTCGATTTTAAGAATTAGTTATTCAAGCATAACTCGAGAAATAACAAGCTAGATGTAGGTTCGCGCTTAGTGTCTACATATTCTTATATATTATTTACTTCTCTTCGATCGATAAATTCTCAAAATATCGATATATATCGATTTCGAGAACTGGTTATTCAAGCATAACTCGAGAAATATGCAAGCTAGATGCAGCAAACTTCGTATTTAGGTTCGAGTATAGTGTTTAAAGTTTACTTTTAGTTTACTTTTTGGATAGCATCCCTGATTTCTATTTCAAAAGAATATAGGAACTTTTATATTTGCAGATAGAGTCTTGGGCTTTGGTATTTACATACTTTTCTTTGTCTTATTTAAGAGCTGAAAATTTCACAAAGTTCTGACCTCAAACACCTTAGTTACCCACGGCAACCTTTCCCATAGCTTGTGGGCTGGGAAGTAGAAGGCAAGCTATTGCATGGTATCTCCCAGTTGGGTAACATGTGCTATTTAATTATTTTCTAAATTTGTAACTGCCCGCTCTGCTGAAAATATTCCAAGTAATAGATATTTTCATAAAGAAATTCCGGGCTAAATTTGATCTCTACCCAAAATTGGCAAATACCAAAGATGGACAAAAGCCAATGCGTGGGAACAAGTTTTTTTTAACTTTTTAGACTAATTGTAATAAAATCGATTATCGATAAATCGATTAAAAATATGAAGACACTAAAAAATTTCGAACAATTCTTAAAAATGCATTTCGAAATCGAAATAATATGTGAAAGTGGAATTCATCGTGAAAATAATATCGATTCTCCCGAAAATGGTTTTGACTGGATTCTGCTGAGTTTCGTGCTTACCTGGGGTATGATGACAATGGGATTCTCCTCGAGCTCCATAATCTTCTCCTGCTTCTTGTCGCGACTGAAGATGTCAGCGATCTTCTTGTAGGCCGACGAGCCGCTGGATGAGCTGGAAACGGAGCTGCTGGGCGAGAAGCTCTTCTCGCCGTTCATGAACTTGGGCGCCAGGGTATTGGGATTCTCCTCGCCGGCGGGACTGTCGCGCTGCGCCAGCTCCGAGCAGTCGCGCTCGCTGGCCTGATCCTGATCGTGATCGGCATCGGCAACGCCGCGCGACAGCTCCTCGACGAGATCCTCATCAATGTCGCAGGTCAGCTGCTTGATGCGCTCCTCCAGCGAAATGTCCGACTTGACGGCCTTCTTCCTGCAGCGGCAATCGAAAAAAAGGAGGGGGGGGGGGGATGTGAGCACTTGCAGCTGTGCCTGGGAGCCTGTCTTGTCGCACTTACTTGATCAGCGAGCGTCGCAGTATATTGCGCTCCATGCTGCGCCGCAAGGTGTCCGAGTCGCCGCAACTGCCGGGCAAATGGGTGACCAGGCAGCCGGCGCGCTTGGACTCATCGAAGGCGCGCAGCGCTTCCGAGGTGAGCACCGGCGCCTGCTGTGCCGAAACGCTGGGGAACAGCTGACGCACCGCCGAATTGGGACGCAGCGCATTGTTGAACAGTGTCGAGTGCTTCTTGATGGGTATCAGCTCGTTGATCTGGTTCTCGCTGTCGTCCAGCTCGCCGCAGAGCGACTGGCCATCGCCATCGGTGCCGGCATTCGCCTGATCCTCGGTCACAAAGCGCACCGAACGCTTTGTGGCGCCGCTCTCGTCCTCTGAGGTGGTGTTGTTCTGGTCATCCGATTGCTGCCCAAATGCGGATCATTAAATAAAATGACCTCCGCCAGCGGCTGCCAGCAGCTACTCACCTGGGAAATGGAGTCCTGCTTCCAGAGTTTGCCGCCCTTCAGGATGCCGCTGATCTGCGTGGTCGTTGTCAGCTCCTTGGGCGGTATGGGTGGCGGTTTCTCCTCATCGTATGGCTCATTGCCAGCGCCATTGGCGGCTGCGGCGGCGCTTGCCGCTGCTGCTGCGGCGGCGGCTGTTGCGCTCGCCTTGGCTGGCAGCGCCGGTGGCAGCATTTCCGCTGCGGGCGCAGCACCGGCAGCGCCAGTGGCAGCCGCCGAATCCTCGTGCGCCTCGCGTACAATGCGTCGCTCGGTCACTGTGGTCATAGTGGTAATGGTTTCAACAACAAATCTTTTTTTCTTGGCTGAGCTACTGCCCGCTGCTGGCACCAGGCTGTTGCCGTAGCCGGTGCCGGTACCGGTGCCGGTTGCGGCAACGGTACCGGAACCGGAAATGGCACTGGCGGCGGCGGGTTTGCTGCTACTGCCCGCATCCTTTCTAACTTTGACTGTTATACACACACAAACAAACACACAGACACACACACATATATATATGACACGGAATATATCAGCACAATACGACATTTGCATGCGGCATATGGTCAGAGCGAGCGGCATTATTGAAATTGTTATACGAAAGAGAGCATTGTACATATTTGCATTGACAGGAGGCACAAAGAGAGAAAAAGAGAGATAAAGAGAGTGAGAGCGAGAAAAGGGGTCGGCTAATATGCGAGGTCGAACGATTGGGTGTGAGCGATTTGAGCGAGTGTGCAGTGTTATTTACGGTCATATTTTGGTGTATAACCTTTGTATAACAGTTGTATAACAGATGTAGAACAGTTGTATTCAGATGTGTATCAGTTGTATAGTAGCAGTAAAACAATAGAAAATGTATATGAACTGACAGTATAACAGTTGTGCTATATAAGTATAACAGCTAAACAAAGGTCTTACTGTTATATAGGGTTTATGGTTAGTTTAAAGGGTGACACTTGTCCTAGCCGGTAGGTGTATAATAGCTATATAACACTGTAGCAAACATGTATAACAGACAGCTTCACAGGTGTGTAAGAACTGTATAACAGCTAAAAGCGTTAACATATAGAATTACTTGAAAATGGATACATTACTCGTCTATAGCTTTGTGACATTTGCTTAACAGATGTTAGTTCAAATAAGTATAACAGATGAAAAACTAACAATGTATCTGTATAACAGTCGTATACAGTAAAAATTACTATTGTATAACTCTTTAAAAATTTGAAAAGCAGACCTGTACAAGTTTTTCAACATTTCATTTAAATAGTATAACAACTGTACAACACTTAAATATCTGTTAATTTAGTTTTGAATTACAGTTATATAGTAGATATGCAGTAGAACAGCTGCATAACAGTATAATAGTTAAATGACATCTTGATTTAATTTTAACAACGGCTGTATAACAGTTGTATATTAGTTGTATAACAGCTGCACAAATCGCTTTCAATTGACCCAAAAAGGAATATCAATGCATGATGGGAGTTAATGTCAATTTCAATATTGAATCCAATAACTGACAACTGTCAAAATGAAAGGGCGATGCTCAATGCTTGGGGCTAAGGTTATATATTTACATACGGCAGATAGACTGATGTATGCATGATTGATGACAATTTTGGGTGTTCGCTTGATAAATGTGATTGCTGCTCTTTGACCGCTGATTGCTGAGAGAAATGTTTTCGCAAATTCTGTGGGTGCTTGGCGTAACGAGAGGTGGATGCAGCGTATGCATGATAAATATTGTGCTATATACAAAGCGAATGACAAATTGTAGGGCGAGAGAGAGAGCGAGACGGGGAGAGAGGAAGGGAGAGAGCGAGAAATGTATCGAACTTTACCTGCTGCAGCTGCCGCTGCGGGCTTGTATTGTGATTGCAGCACATATTTGGGCCGCTCCTCGCCGGCGATGATCTCCTTCTGCGTGATGCGACGCTCCGGTGAGCTGGTGTGCAACGGCAACAATGCCACAGCTGGCACCCCGATCGGCGTCAGCTCCTCGTTGCACTGCGACCCGCCGCATTCTGTTGAGAGAGCAGAGGTGAGCCAAAGAATTTTCTTCAAATTTATATCGATAAAGAGTTTCTACTAAGTGTCTGCATATTCGTACAATTGTTTAAATAACAGTTCTATTTAAAAAAAAAAAAGTATGACAGTTGTATAACAGTTCTTCAATCATGAAAATGGATGCTTAGTTGCCGAGCGGGGCATTGACAGGGTGAAAACAGTTGTATGACGGTTCTATTATGGAAAACAAATGTACAACGGTTGTATAACAGTTCATCAATCACAGCTGCTTAGTTGTCATATAACAGACCTTAAATAAACTGACTGATTAATGATTAACGAACGTCTCTCTTTCTGAGATTTTTATCCAACAGCCAACAAAATTTACGTTTTCTGCAGCAAACGTAACTTTAGTGGCTGCGCGTCGAACTAGCAAGCGAGAAATCGCCGGTTCAAACTCATCAAAAGTTTTTGAAAAAAGGAAAAAAAAAAATATCCATATATATATATGGGAAAATTAAAATAAGTTTACGCCGGACGCGAGCTAAACATTTCAGCAGCTTTCTATACGTCAGAGGTTGACGTGAATTAAATAATTCATTTCGTTTGCACTAGTATTTTCAACATGATTTATTTCAGCCAGGCGATGCCGGGTAATATTATAGAGAGAGAGAGGGAGAGAGAGAGGGAAGGGAGTGGGGCGCTGCTGCGCCTGTTGCTGCTGTTGCGGAAGCGCGCTTGAAGGATTGCTCTTGCGGCAGGGCGCGGCCAGAGCTTGGCTCAACTTTGGCGGCCCGAAAATTCAGTGGTTCAGTGACTCGGTGACTGTTGCGGGTGGGTCACATTCCGCTTCGTTAGGCGCAACAAATAATGCTTAAAAGGGGACTCAGTTCAACTGGTTGCGTTTGCCTGTCAATCGATAAAGCGTGACCAAAATTAATGCAAATGCAAAGCCATGTCCCCTACCCCCTACTCGGGCCCCTACCTACCCGGTTCTTACATTCGTTGAAAAAGTATCGCTCAAGTTAAATATCCTTCTATGGTTGGCAAACAAAACCATAAACAACTACAAACTTGCGCTTGTTGTTTATCCATTAAGTTAAGTTCCCATAAATCAATCAATAGTTTTTTAGTTTTTGGGTAGAACTTTAACCAAGTTCGACGTCTGCGGCAATGCGGGCAACAAAGTTGAAACATTTAACTTACGTATTTTTCGCTTTTATGTGCCCATTAACCATGAAATCCCCCAGAAAATGGTGGCCCAAGGTTTGGCCAATGCATGTAATAGCAATCTTTGCTAAATCCTTGAAAGGCTTTAATCTATAAATCTAATATGTGTATATATTCTCAATCTGAATTGAAAGTCGACGTTATATAACAGTCGTATGACAATTGCTCAGCAGTCAGATATAGAGGTTCTGTATAGTCGTATAACAGTATAATAATAGATACATATATGATAGTTCTATTATCATAAAAGTTGCATGACAGTCGTATAACAGTTTGTCAATCATAAAAAGAGTTGCCCTATAGTCGTATAACAGTTGTAAAACAATCATATTAAGAGTTGGTTAGTTGTTGTATAACACTTTAGTAAAAGATAATAGCAGTTCTATTATGTGTGACCTAAAAAGTGTATGACAGTATTATTATCAGTGAAATAAAAGTTGTATGACAGTCGTATAATAGTTAGTAGGCAGTTGTAGGACTCTTCAATTATCTTTAGCGCATCAATTATACTGACATACATATAACAGTTATATAACAGTTTTACTGTCAGTGGCATTTGAGTTGTATGACAGTTGTACAACAGTAAAGCATACTTGTATAACGCTCGTATACCACCTAACACATTCGTGGGCCTTTCTGCTAGCCAGCAACATACAAAAAATCAAAATGGCGTCGAATTTACGGCCCACACCCAACGGGCAACAGTCTAGACCCGGCTGACGATGGCCGACAACGGGCCTGTGTGTTGCATAAATAATTCATAATTAGATAATGCAAAGGCAAAACGAAAACGAATTTTGAATAGAGCGTCGCTAGCGACCCCGCTCCCCACCATCTGACCCAACCCAAATGGGATATGCACGCTAATTGCATTGCAAAAAAAAAAAAAAAAAAACGAAATAAACCAAAAGTAAACAGGACGAGCCGCATTTACCTGCATCCTGTAGCTGCTTGGCGGCGCATTCAGCGCACTCGGCGCACTCGGTGCAAACGCCCTGCAGGTCCTCATCGGGCAGCGGCTGTTGCTGTTGTTGTTGTTGTTGCTGCTGTTGTTGTTGTTGTTGCTGTTGTTGTTGTTGCTGTTGTTGTTGCTGAGCGCCGCCTGCGGGCGGTGGCGGCGGCGGTATTTGACTGTTGCTGTTGCTGCTGCTGTTGCGCGCCGCCAACATTGCGGCACGCTGCTGCTGCAGACGCTGGATAACCTGCAACTGTTGTAGATGCTGCGCGCCGAAGATGTGGCCGCTGAGCGCGCCGCCCAGCGTGTTCTTTAGGCTGTTATCCTTGTAGCCATCGGGTGGACTGAGCGCGGCATCGTCCACAAAGTCAATTGGCGGCTGGAACTTGGGGCTCTGCGAAAGAGTTGCAAATCGCTTAGTCTCAGCTAATACACTCAACGAAAATTGCTGCTCAAATGAAAATTGAGCTGTCAACAATATTCTTAACTCAAGAAATAATTCCTTTTTTAAAGCCCAACTGTAGCTTTTTTATATGACTTTATTTTATTCTGAAATTAAGTTGAATGAGGCTTAAAAACGTTACCAAAAAAAAAAAAACAAACTTGTTTCAATTCTTCTAAGCTTCAAAAGTTAAAGCTAAGAAGTTTTCTTTTCACCGACTTGACTTAGTTGAAGGTTGCATTAAGTGCGAAAAAACTTAAAATAAGTTTTATTTGACACACTTTTTGTGCCTTATTGAAGAAAACATATTGAAACGAGCTGTCACGCCTTGAGCCTAAGCTTGTTTTACTCCAATTGACGCCATTTTCAAGTTTGCAAATTCTTGATTTAAGAGTTGGGTTTTGCAAATTGTTGAAAGTTTAAGTTTGCAATCGTGCAAAAAGCATGCCCAGTTTGAAAATCTTAAACAACGCAATGTAGTTGAAAGGGAGCCTAATTTCGTAGTTCACAGTTTTTCGCTAACTGTAGTATCTACTTAATGTTAGTTAGCTAAGTAAGTTATAGGCTACCGGCTTCTAGCTACACGTAATTGTGCGCCCGCTCGCAAATTAAGCTAATTGAGTTTTATAGCCAGACGAATGGGGGCGTTATATATATATATAGAAATGTGTGTGTCTGTGTGTGTCCCTGTTGGTGCCTGTGTGCTAGTGTTTGTCTGGCTGATGAACTAGCTGTGTGTGCTCATAAATCTGTGTTAAGTTTTCTCGCCGGTGGTGGGCTGTGCACGTAACTAATCAAAAGGCAGCGACATTTGTATATGTATAACACTTGTACAGGGCTGTTAATCAATGTTATCACAGTTATATAATAGTTGTATTTTGCCGCATGCAACATCAAACAGATTTATATCAGCTTGGTATAACAGCTATTATGGTGTGTACACATTGAATAACAGCTTTTTGGCTGCCTTTTGTATGAAATTCAGTTTCTTTTAGCCAATTTCTGCTGCTCCTAATTGCATATAACAGTTGTTCAACAAACGTAGATGTGTGTAACTGTTGACAACAGAGATGTGAACAATTGTGAAGCATGAATTAGTGTGATGCAGCTACTGCAGCATGTGTATAGCAGTGATATAACAGTTTTTACTTTAAACGAGTTTCCTTCAAAAACTAAGATGCGTTAGCTATGAGCTTTGGCAAATTTCATAGACTGTAACATTTGTAATACAGTTATATAACAGTTCATAATAAGCTTATATTGAGCAAGTTCTGTCATGTGTGATTTGCCACTAGAATTTTGCATAATTCGCTCGTATAACAGTCGTATAACAGCTGTATAACAGTTGTATAACAGTTAAATAACAGCTTATTTTCAGCTTAAATTCCACCAACCGTCTTGTTAGTTGGCATCGAAATGTTCCAACGCCCTCAGCAGAGCCGCAGCTCGCAAGACCAAGGACAAGGCGCATGAACATTTGCATACATGCTAAACACATGCATATGTAAGTACAAATGGAAGTACATGCGCGTAGTTGTTGTGTGTTCATTTAACACAATGCAAGACGAAGACGTAGTCGAAGACGGCAACAAAGTCTAGGCCAAGAGTTCGCTGGAGGTTTTTGTGGTGCGGCAATCAACTTGCCAAGAACTTCTTTTCTTTTCTTTGGTTTTTATAGTGTTGCAAGCTTAAGAAGTGCCACATAAAGCAAAAGCCGACACATAACGTGTGCGAACTGCTTCCACATGAAGGTTTTTTTTCTTTTTTCTTTTGGAATTGCCAAATGGAAAATGGAAAAGTCGCTGCACGATGCCATAACAACAAAACCTTTGCATAAAAATTGCCAAATTTTTTATCGTCATTTTGGGTTTCGTTTATTTCATGCACTCGCTGAGTGTTCTGTGATTTTGTCGTAAGGCTTGTTATCAAATTTGTGCTTTTTTACAGTTTAGGTCTGTTTAGCTACGTTGTCTCGTGCGGACTGTTCTTTTAAGTCTCTACATTATTGATTTAAGATGAATTGAGCTGTATTTCAAACAAAAATATTGACTGGTTTCAGCACTTTTCGGTTCAGTTAGACACTTGAATACTTAAAGCAAGAAGTCTTTTGGAAAATGCAAATCAAGCACTTGCTTACTTAGAACTAGAACTTTAAGTCTTGGCGCAAGTAGAAAAGTTCTAGATTTAAGTAATCGCTTTACTTGCAGGAAGCATGTGACTCGCTGAGAATGAGAAAATGCAAAGTTCCTTGCAACTAATTAAATTGTGATGTGATTCTTTTTACAAAATATGCTGCTTTAGTCAAATTTTAAGTGTTTACGCACTTGGTTTAAGCAAGAAAAGCTTAATTTAATATTCATTTTATATGTTAATTATGTGTTTATTTATGCAAAATATGAAAATGCTGTGAAAATCGAATGAAAATTGAGTTATTTATAGGGTATATATGTGCTATATATGCGCGTCTCTGGCAGGGTATTTAATATTCGTTGCAATATTTGTTTTCTTTTCCTTTTTTCTTTTTTTTTGCCTGTGTCTGGGACTTGGCTTATACAACGCATTTTGTAAACTCTTTACACACACTAAATGCATATTAAACTCTTCAAAGTGACTGCAGGAACAAGCACACACACACACACACACACACACACACACAGAGAGAGAGGCACAACCAGGCGCACAGACTTGAATCTTAGGCATTTGCCACATGCTTGAGCAGCGCCAAGTCAAGTGCATTGGGCGGCCACCCACTTGGCCAGGGCACACTCAGACAGACAGACAAAGCGTGAGGAGAGGGAGGTAGAGTGGGCAGGCGGGGGGCGTGCCGGGTATCAGGCTGGTTGCCCGGCCCGGCCCGGCTCGGCCCGGCACGGACAGATAAGCAAAAAGCGGCGCACTCAAGTGACGCTCATGTGGCAGAAAATTGAAATTTAAACGCAGCTTGAGGGCCGCTTAGGATCGATGCAAAGGCAAAAAACTAAAGGAGACGCGAGAAAGGGTAAAGGGTTGCGGAGTGTAGCTAATGGGCAGCAGACAGAGCGACACAGCGACAGAGAGAGAGGGAGAGAGAGAGAGAGAGAGGGAGATAGCAAATGCGCTACGACAGCAAGTTTGTGAATGTCCTTAACACATGAAACGCGTACATCACGATAAAAGGCGCACTTCAAGGCACAATTTCATAAAACAATATATCAGTGATATATATATATATACATAGAGAGAGAGAGGGAGAGGGAGAGGGAGAGAGAGAGAGAGACACACACAATGTTGCTGCTGTGCAACGTGCTGCACTTTCGACTTACTCGAGTTGCATTTTGTGCAAAAGTTTTTAAGTGATTTATACACCACTTGCGCAAGGAAAAAGTCAGGGGTTCAGGGGTGTGGGTGTGGGCGTGGGCGTGGGCGTGGGCGAGACAAGCTAACTACAAACTTGCAACAGCAACAATGTGCGGCCGACTTGCAACTTGACTTGCCTTGACTGCCACTCGAAGGCTGCAGGATGTGGCACGGGTCGCCGGAAACAGGATATAGAATACACCATATAGATTATGGCGAAACTCAATACTCAACCAGACCGCACACCCCTCCCCCCGCCCCCTACGCAGCCCAAAACAATGTCGAATTACATAAAACAATTGCGCTTTTTGTTGTGACTCAGAGCTGAAGGCGGGCACGTTTGTTTTAATTAACAATTGCACAGTGGAGCAAACTAATTAGTTTTGCTCAAAAACAACAAAAAATATATATCAAAAAAAGAAAAGAAGCGACTAAATGACATAATACAGAAGCATACATATCAAATTATATTTATATAATAAACATAAATTATAACAGGAGGAAAGTGCAGCTAACATAATGTGACCATGGAGGACCACAAGACTGCAAAAAAAAAACACATGTGGAGCATGCAAAAAGGAGCCAAAGGCGCAAGTTGAAGCCAGGAAAGGTGTTCGAAGTATTCTAAAGAGATACCTTACCTTAATGTGAGCATGGAGGACAAAACTGTGTAATACATGCTAAAGTTCAGTTACATGTTTTAATAACAATTATATTTGGCAAGCCAGGAAATGTGGCAGAAAAAGCCTGCAACAAAGTGAACATGGAGGACGCTACATGACCCAAATGAGCACAGGTCAGCACGTGCAAGGCTTGTCTAATCTGAATAAAAGGTTAACAAGAAAAAACTCTATAAAAAAGACCCAATGAAAGCAAATTAAGCAAGAACTTTCAACTGACCATGGAGGACAACAGCTTGGCCTAATGGAGAAAACGTGTTCAAAGTATTCAAGCAAGAACTTTCAGAGGATAGACAGAAATATGTATATAAAATACAGCTGAGAATGAAGAATATCTACTGGTCAAAAATGGTTAAATTGCAATAATGTGAGCATGGAGGACAGTTGAAAGGAATTAGCAAAAAAGTTCGTCAAAGTATTCAAAGTAGACTTATCAGAGGACACACAAGAAAATCTACAAAAAAAGGGATTTATTGCAATAAAGTGACCATGGAGGACAGCTGAGAATGAAGAAAATATATTTATGAGAAAGTAAAGTGACCATGGAGGACGACTGAGAGCGATGAGGACAACTATTGGTCAACGTATTCAAGAAAGACTTGTCAGAGGCTACACAAGAAATTGCAATAAAGTGACCATGGAGGACAGCTGAGTACAAAGAATAAAAGAGACTGTTCAATTGCTCTAAATTGACCATGGAGGACATGTAAGAGCGTTTGGGAGAAAAGTTTTTCAATGAGTTCAAAGAAAACTTATCAGAGGACGCACAAGAATAAGAAAACAAATTGTTGAATTGCATTAATGTGAACATGGAGCACAGCTTAGAGCAACTGGTACAACGGTTTCTTATAGTAAGGAAATAAGACCTACCACAAGAAAGTATAGTTATATGCCAGTAATCTGTGTTCATTTCGTATAAACATTATTCAATAATCACGGACTAAGACTTGCAGTATTTAACTAGAGGATAAATAACAGCAAATGATTAGCAAGAGGTTAAATAACAGCAGCTGATTTATTTAAACTGTCGCATGTGATGGCAGCATAAGCCCCTCATTGAAAGACCAACAACTAAATACCACAAACAAAACAAAAAAGAAAAACCATAGACAAGCAGTTAAATATTTAACATGAGCTAGAGCAGGGTTGCCACCCGGCAGCGCACAATAAATACAGCTTTTGCATAAATAATCGCCTGCAGTTGTCAAGCACAATATTTAAATTTAGCACAGCTTGCAAAGCTTTTCAGTTGACCATTTTAAGCTGGCTTGTCAACCAACATGAACAATGACAGTAGGAAATAGTAGAAATTTGTTAAGACTCGCTGGAAGTCGTTTAATACCTACGATTTAGCTAGCTGTCAGTGGCGCATTATTTTTTGCCTAACTAAACTTGCGTCTCTGGTGCGTGAGTATTGCCTACTTTTCAGCTGTGGCCAGTGCGAGTGCACACACAGAGACACGGACACACAGATGCCAAAGCCGACTAAGCACTTCAACTTTGAGCACTTGTGCAACTCGACTTAATCCGCTTAACGTGTGCAGTATTTAAGCGCCCCAGCTACAGCGCCCCAGCCACAGCACCCCATACACAGCGCCGCATCTACAGCGCCCCAGCCGTAGCTCCCGCCCCCAAATATCAGGCCCACATTATACTCGTTCACTCACCTGTGGCGTTCGTCCATCGCCGGGCTCGGCGGCGTTAACCGCATAGTTGCACTGGCAGCCCTCCTCGCAGCAGAGGCGCACCAGCTCGTGCTCGCCGCAGGTGCATGGCTCCTCGTCTTCCTCATCGTAGGCGCAATCCTCGCGTATCAATATGATATAATCGGCCTCGAAGAACTCGTTGCGTGTCTCGTCGAAGACGACCCGATTTTTGCGCGCCGGCGGCGGTCGATTCGGTTTCTTGAGCAGACCGCGCAGCTGGCCATTCACCTCACGCATCTTGAACACGTCTGGCCGGGGCCCAAATGATATCCCAGTCGCTGTTGTGCTTGTAGCGAGTGTACTCGCCGTTCGCTCGTTGTACTCGTTGCTCGCTGTACTGTTATGTGCTGCGACCGCTAGGCACTCATCGCACTGGCACTCGTTGCAATTGCTATCGCTATTGTATTCACACTCGCTGTCCAGCTCCTGCTCCTGCTCGTGCTCGTGCTCGTTCTCGTCCTGTTGTTCGCTAACAAATTCAGCGAGTAGCTCGTCGTAACACTGAAAGCCGCGTCGCTGCTTGACGCTCACGTGACTGCCGCTCGGCTCGCCTGGCAGCTGACACTGGCTATTGTGATTGATGTCGAGCAATTGTAGCTGTCGCGCCGCTCTCAGATACTCGCCAAAGCGCTGCACATCGAACTCGCTGAGCGTGGCCACAAAATTGGCGGCGTTCGTTGACGAATCGCTGCAATTGTTGTCACAAATAACTGTGGGCACAAATGCGCTGCGTATGCAACTGTCTGTCGCTGTTGTTGCTGCTGCTACTGTTGTTGTTGTTGTTGTTGTTGTTGGTGTTGTTGTTGTTGCTGCGGGCTTTGCTTCAATTTCAATCAGCACCTGGTCGCCGTCGTCTTGGCTGTCAGCTAATGTTTCAGCTGTGCTCACAACACGCTCACCGCGCACGCGCAATGCCAACTCTGGCAACGTATTCAGCAATTGCTGTTGTCTGCTGCTGCTGCTGTCGTTTGCTTTGGCAATTTGTTCATTTCCAATGTCTTGAATACAATTTACATCTAATTGTATTGCACTTGAGCTTGCCACGGCCAACACCGAACTTTCAACTATTTTATTGTCCTTTGCAGCGTGGCTGCTGCTGCTGCTACTGCTGCTGCTGCTCGGGGGTGTGAATGTGGGTGTGAGAGTGGGTGTATGGCTATTTGCTGCTGCTGCTTCAGGGGGTAGTTTCTTTGTTGTGCTTATTGTAGACGTGCAGGCATTTAGTTTTAGTTGTTGTTGTTGCTGTTGCTGTCTCAAGGATGCCTTTACACAATCAACTACAGCAGCACAACTACAGCTGTTGTTGTCACTGCTGCTGTTGCTGTTGTTGTTGCTGTTGCTGTTGTTGTTGCTGCTGTTAACGCGTCCCTGAAAATTATGCTGTAAGCGTTTTAGCCGCTGGCTGGCCACAAAATCATCGACCAAATCGTGCTCAAAATCAATAAGATCGTAATCGTTGCAGCTTGTTGCTGCTGCTGCTGTTGTTGTTGTGCTGCACTCGTTACTTTCGGTTTTACTCGCTGCTGTCGCACACTCGTTGTGCTGCACAGCCGACTGCTGATCAGCTGCGTCGCAGTCTATGAGCGTGTAGCTAGCTGCACACTCGTTACTCGCTGCTTTGTGCTCGCTACTCGTTGCTTTGTGTTCGCTACTCGTTGCTTTCTGTGCGCTGCTCGTCACGTCGAACTCAAACGCTGTGGACTCAAGCCGAAGCAAAGGCTCCGCACGGCACTCGTCGAGCAAACTTTGGCCTGAGCTGCTACTCGTTGCTTTGCCGCGACTCGCTGGCTTGGCCCAGTGCGATGCTGCTGCTTTGTTGTCTGCAACACTTTTCACGTAATCCACGTAACCGTCAGCAACAACAACAACTGGCACGCTTTCGGGCAAAACAGCGCCAGCAACACCAACGACATTATCAACAGTAACAGGGTCGTGGCATGGGCCGCTCGCTACGTTCGCCGTTTCCTCACGCAAATATGGCAATGACAATGGCGTCTCCGGCAGCACCAACACCTCCTCCGATGTCTGTGTCTGTTTCTGATTTGACTTTGGATCCTTTGCCCTGGCGTGGCTGCTGCTGCTGTTGCTGGCAAATGTTGTTGCTGTTGTTGTTGCTGCTGTTGTTGCTATTGCTGCTACGTCACTTTGCACATTTTCACTTGGTTTATACAAAAAAAAATCAGCACTTAACGCATTTGTACTGCCTTTTTGCACAAATTTTTCTGTACGTTGCGCGTCGCCGTCAGCGTCGTCGCCAGCTGCGCTGCTCGCGTCGTTGTTGACGCCTGTATACAAAATTTGTTGTTGTTGTTGCTGTTGTTGCTGTTGCTGCTGTTGCTGCTGTTTTAGCTGCTCGTTTTGGCCAACACTTGAGCTGATTTGCACAAAATTTGCACAAATTTGTAACAATTGTTTTTCTTGATTTTTTATATTGTATTTGCCAAAATTAATTATTGGCTGCTGCTGCTGCTGCTGCTGCTCAGCTGCGCTTGCTGCGACGACTGCTGCTGCTGCTGCTGCTGTTGGTGGTGCGGCTGCTGCTGTGAGTTTGGCTTTGAAAAGCTGACTGCCAATTGTAGGTATTGAGCAGGCGCTGTTGTCGCTGCTGCTCCCGTTGCTCCCCAAGCCTTTGGCATTGTCGCTGTCGCTGTCATTGCCTGCTGCTGCTGCTGCTGTTGCTGTTGTTGCTGTTGTTGCTGCTGTCACATTGGGTGGTTGTTGGCCATGGCCAGCATTGCCTGCGTTTGCGCTCACGCTCGCGCTCTCACGCTCGACTTGCGTGCGCTCACATTTTGTGGCCACTTCCGCTCCTGTGCTGCTGCCTCTGCTACTGCTGCTGCTGCTGCTGGTGTTGTTGTTGTCGCTGTATTCAGCACGCGCATGCGCCTGCGTTTGCATGTCGTTCGCTGTGCTGGCCGCTGACTGGCACGCCTGCCAGCCCCGCACCGCGCCGCGCTGCTGCTGCTGCTGCGGCTGCCACGCACAATGCGCCTTGTATTGCACGCGAGCAACATCAGCGCGTGAGCTGCGTGTCTCGCATGCCAAATCGACGTCATCGTTGCCATCATCATCATCAGCAGCAGCAGCAGCAGCAGCAACATTCAAGCCTAGTCCACCGTTAGTCATGTTGCCCGCTGCTGCAGCTGATGTTGTTGTTGCTGTTGCTGCTGTGATTGTTGCTGCCTCAATTGCAACAGCAATATGCGCACTGTTGCTGTTGTTGCTGCTGCTGCTGCTGCTCTTATAATTTGCATCTTCATTGTGTTTATTTAGCGTTTTGTTAGACATTGTTGCCGTCATTTTGCTGCGTTTCGCTGCTTCATCACAATGTTGCCTCTCCCGCTCCCGCTCCCGTTCCCGCTCCCGTTCGAGCAAGCTCTGTCCGTTCGTTAAGGCCAACGTTAGCATGTCCACAATCAGCATAGTTGCCGCCTGGCTAACACACACGATCCGTCCGCTGGCCGTTAGACGTTGGCGGCATTCGAGCTGCGAATATGGCAATTGCAATTCTCAATTAGTTCAGGCAACAGCTGAAATTAGCACATAATCATACAAAATAATACAAACATAATTATCGAGCAATCGATACTTTCCACAACCGTTAGGCCCCTTTACGTTTTCTAGTTCGTCGACAAATAATTACTTTAACATATTTCAATCGAGCTGCGTGAGCAAAATCCTGTCAAATCATTTCTTTGCTTTGATTCTTGCTCTCAGAGGGAAATCAAGTACTAAATTACGTTTCTTTTTTTTTGTAACATTTTTTTAAATTATTTTTTTTAGAAATGTTGCAGAATTTATCGAATTGAATACTTACAAAAAATTAACAATAATTTAAAAAATAAAAAATAAAATTATTAAATAAATAGTTGCAAAATTTATACAATTATAAATTATAGTAAATAAATTGCATGCCATAAAATTTTGGAGCATATTTAAATTTGATTTTAAATATGACATATATATGGCATATATTAAAACTGCGACATATATATGAGATATAATTTAAATGTGACATATATTTGACATACTTGTATTCAAAAAATATATTTTAACATTTTCAAGCGTGCCGTTTCTTTATTTATTATAAATTTAACATTAAATATTCAATCAAAAATTAATTAATATTAAATGTATCGAAATTTTTGGAATATTTTGATTAAGTCAAATTTCATTAACTTCAAAAACTATTTCGATAAATTTGCAAATCAAATGGAAAAATAGATATACCCGAAATTGCATGCGATTTAACAGAACTTCAATAGTTGAAAGACTAGAAGAGATTTCTATTATATATATATTTAACTATTATTTTTATTAAATCTTAGATATTATATAAGGTTCGACTCTTCAAAGAAAACAATCAAAAACATGTAAAGAAAAGAGTTCCGAAAAGTTGATGGAAGACAAGTTCCGGTTGTTAAGAAATTTCCATATTCAAATTATGATGGGGGCTGGCCCACAGATATGGCGACAAAATGTGGGAGTTTTTCTTATCGGAAACTCTCACACGAAAAATGTACCAACAGGTTCTCTTCTCCATGAAACACAACCAGTTGATTTTCCACTTAACCAACCATATACCATAATCGAAAATAGAGTTTTTTTTTTTCTAATTTTTGCATAAATTAAATTTACCGGCAAACAAATTTGGACACAAACTGTTGTTGGGAATTTTACGCGCGACTTGTTGTTGTTGTTATTACCGCACTGACACAGAAAAACAGGTGCACGTATTCAGCGAAGCGCATCCTGTGCTCAGGATACCCCGCACTCAGCAAGACAAAGCGTGCAGCGTGTGTGCGACTGAGAGGGGGATAGTTAATAGCGTGGGCTCGTTACGCGCGAATGCAGACCGAAAGACACCACCAGCCAAAAAAAAAAACAAACAATAACACACACACACGCACGCAATACGGAAACAAACACAACGGCGAAAACGTAAACAACAAAAATAATTTGAGTGATACGTAAAATTCTCGAGCTAACGTGAGTTTCTGCTTTGTGCAGCTTTTTCGGTGCCGATCGCCGCTTAAGACACCGCACGTCCGAACGCGTCTCGTGGCGGAAGTTGACTGAGCAAACGCAAATGCAAACGCGCCTCGCAACGCTTTCGGCCTCAGCTCTGGCAGTCTTGAGGCTTGGCCTCGGCTTCGGCTGCGTCTTCGGCTTCGGCTTCAGCTTCGGCTCCGGCTCGACCGAGGCGCATGCTCTAAAAACTTAACGAGCGCCGAGCAAAAGAAGCGACGCCAAAGACATTTGAATAGAGGTGGTGGTGGAAGTGCTCGCATGTAAGCCAGGCGGGAAGGAAGAGAGCGAAAGAGAAAGGGAGATATGAAGCGAGCGGAGAAGACAACATGCACGAGCAAAGTGAGCATGACTAGCAGATACCTTAATATGAGTAAAAAATTAACAAGATTTGTGTTGGATGAATGTGTAATCAAATTTTTCTCCATTTTTATTCAACCAGTTAGTTAATCAGGGAAAAGTTCATTCTTACCTGAAATTGACGTTCAAGTCCAGATACACTTATGTGACTAACACTCATTATTATGTGTCAACTACTGTAGAAGAGTTTTTAATTTTGTAAATAAGAACTTATACTTATATTTCATATCTTACCCTTCTAGTTATTATAGATAGGTTACGCTTCCGATTTCAAGACAATTACTTTCTCCTCGGGTAGATATTTACAAGCCCTCGCTAATCTATTCGCTGATATAAACTAGTTTGTATTAACATATGGTATAAAACTATATGGTTCAACTTGTTTATATTATAGAAAGAGTCGTAGAATATAGACACTTTGTTGTTTATCTGTCACATGATTATTACCGCCCTATTACATCCCCATATACTGGCTACAGGGTATAATTACAGCAGAGATCGCATGGCCGGGCAGCTGCTGCCAGCGTTGCCACCGTTGCTGCTGCTTGCGGATGGTGCGTGTTGTCAGCAGCAATTATGCGCTGCACTTGCGAGTTTTATGACCAGCTCTTGGTCGACTCTGGGCAGCTACGCTGGGTATCTAGCCCCCCCCCCCCCTCCACCAGCCCTCCTCCACGCTAACTAACGCTGCCCGCGGGCCTATACAATGCTACCCTAAGCGACAATTGGCTACGGTGACCGGCGACAGTTAAGTTTTTGTTTAATGTGTGCGTGCGTGCGTGCGTGTGCGTGTGCATGTGTGTGTGCGTGTGGCTTGGTCAAACGTGCTCGTCGCGCAATCACGATGGGTGTACGAGCGTGTGTGTGTGTGTGTGTGTGTGTGTGTGTAACATAGGAAGCTAAGCAGCGCTCGTCTTATTGACAAAAAAAAAGTAGTTAAGATATCAGAGCACAGTTACGACTTGCCGAATGAGAAAGTAACTTCTTCGAGGTGCTTCGAGGTCAACATTTAAATTAGATAAAAGATAAGCGCGATTGCATCTAAAACTATTTACATATAAAAATATAATAAATATCGAAAACTCTTCAAGCTGAAAGCACAAATTAAAGCTCTACAAAAAATCGCAAATATTTATATTCTTAAAGCTCACAGATTGGAGGAAATAATGTCTAACTCAGAGTAAAGCTAAAGAACAAAAAATCAGTTTCGAAGTGCTTTTCTTAATCCGAGAACAAGAACAACAAAAAAATAGAGAAATGATCAAATTAACTAAAAAATTGTAATACGTGCTTATTTCAATTTTTGCGCTGGGAACTTAATTCAATCAAAACGTATCTTAACCAAATCACAAGAGCTCAGATAACGTTGTTCCGTGCTTTTTACCGTACTTTTTTTTCACAGTTAATTAAACTATTTGACAAGGTCAAATTAAAGTTAACTTTGTGATCAGCCTAATAATATTATTTTGAATGTTGTAAATTAAATTACAAGAATTGGCAATGAGCTTAAATTAAGAATTATATTTTTCAGATCAAGAATAACGTGAACTAAGTCGAATTAAGACAATGTTTGTGATGCAATTGAGTTAAAACTCTGTGATATTTCTTAATATTTCTTTCTTTATCGAAACTTGTATCATCCGTAGAAATAAGAAGAACTATTTTTATGTGATTTAGGCCTTGGTTAACTTTGTATCTGTATATAAAAGCTATATATAAGCTAAAAGGTTCAAAATGTGCAAATTCGAGTTCCAAGTCAGACGTTGTGGGAATTTAAGCGGCTTTTTATCTGCCTGCCAGCTTTCAAGCCGTTCAACGCCGGGTAATTTCTTGCTAAGTACCTAGTTAAGCTGAATTAAGAACTTGAAGATCAATCAATTAAGTTGAAGCAGCTCCCACAAGAAGACACAGACACCTGCAAAGTGAACAGCATGCACAGCGGAGAGGGGGGAGTGAAGTGGAGAGAAGGAGAGGGGGAGAGGAGGATTGCATAGGTACTTCTAAGTATGTGCTCAGTAACCCCATATAAACTACGCTCATTACAAGGGCTGTAGCGAGAAGGGGCGGGGTGGGGGGGAGCTATTGGCATTGCATGTGAATGCCGCAAGAAGACGATGGATGAGGATGACGACGAAAACGACGATAATGACGATGATGATGACGATGATGATGATGATGATGATGATGACAGCCAGTGGCCAAAATGACAAAGCCCAGACAGGCAGTCAGATGCAAAACGGGAGGAATAGCGGGGAGCGTGTGTGTGTGTGTCTCTCTCTCTGTCTTTCTCTCTCGCTCTCTCTTCTGTTGTTGTTTTTTTTCCGGGGCAAAACTTATTACAAAGTAGGAACAGAAGTGAGCAAACTGAATGAATGAATGGAAAATTGTGGGAACAATGGAACGCGGAGCGTGTGAAATTGCCAACTGCTGATGATGACGGCGAGATGGCGGTACTTCAGGGC